GCGACGGAGCCGGCCAACAGCAAGGAGACGGCCCTCTTCTGGTTCAGCTCCTGTCATGCAAAACAGAAAAATCCCTCCGGCGGAGACGCCTTTGCAGAACATTGGGGGGGCGAGCCCAGCTGTATGTTGCAGCCTGCGCCTCGGGACCTGAGCTCAGCCAAGACAGCTCCAGCTTGTGTTCCTCGAGCTTCAGCAGCTCACCGTCCGAAATCTATCGTCCGGGTGGGCCCCTCAACAGCACCTGCTGCCCAAGAGGCCATCTCTCAAGAGGCATTGCTGGAAGTCGTCGTGAACTTGCCCGGCCTGCGGGGATTTCGCTGGCCAAAACCTGCTTACAAGCCTTACCGACGTAGACGTCTCCCCACCTCGAAATCCCTTCTCCGCATGGTAGTCGTCATTCCTGCACATCATGAAAAGTGCCCCATGGAGACTAGATAGTACTGTAACTTGCATCGACAACACTCCTCCTGGATGAGAATATGTTCCCGCCGCAGGCCTTACTCATGCACAGGGCACAAAACGTCAAACAGTGAGCAACTGTGCAACGTAGATCTGCGGGAGCTCATGCCGAAATAACGACTGCTGGAAACATTTTTGCAGCGCAGCCAACGAATGTCGAGGTCCCGCCAGGCTCAGGCGATCTGGAGGCCCAGCTTCTTGGCCTTCTCGGCCTGGATGGCCCTCTCCTTTCGCGCAGTGATGTGCTGGGACTTAATTCCCATGATGCCGCCGCCCCATCTTCGCTTCACCTCAGCATTGTCATTGAACTGTGCCTTGAAGTTGTTGACCAGGGTGTTCAACTCCTTCTCGTCCTCTGGCTTGACGGAGGTGATGGCAATGCAGGCACAGGCCTTCTGGTGAATCAACTGGCCCAGGCGCGACTTGCCCTTGATGATGCAGTAAGGCACATCCTTCTTGCGGCACAGTGCCGGCAGCCAGCACACGAGCTCAAGGGGATCCACATCATGGGCAATCACGACGAGCTTTGCCATCTTCTCCTCGATCAGCGTTGTCACGTGATTGAGGCCATACTTCAGAACCTGGGGCTTCTTCGTCTTCACCTCCTGGCCGTCCTTCTTCTGCTGTGCCATCTCCATCAGCCTCGCCTTCTTCGCCTCCTTGGTCTCGGGCGAGTACTTCTTGCAGAGCTTCAGAAGAGACGCTGCCTGGTTCTTGTCAATGGCCATGCTGAACTGGTTGATAGCAGGGGGAACCTTGAGGCGCATGAGCATGATGCGCTTCTGGCGCTGCAAGCGGATGTACTTGGGCCACTTCACGAAACGCGTCAGGTCGCGCTTGGGCTGGATGTCACCACCCAGGCGGTAGTTTCGAGGGGTCTTCTCGAAAAGCGGATTCTTCTTCGCCTTTTTCTTCTTGTCGGCCAGCGGCGCCGCTGGGAGCTTCTTGCCACCCTTCGCTGCCTTCCCCATGTCAGGCAACTCCTATGTTGGTCTGCGATCTACGCTGTCGCCGCTTTCGAGCAACGATCATGAACGATCATGCAAGACGGACGAGCCCAAGCACGACACCGATGCAAAGGGTTCAAGCTCTCGATAACATGGCCAACTTAGGCTGCAACCATGCAAACGGCAGCTGGCAGAGCCATGGGGCACGTGTCGTGTGCTCTGCGGCAGCCTCTACGTTAAGGTCTTGAAGTTGTCTTGCCAAATATGCTACCATTACGACCAGAGGGCGAGAGCGAAACAAGGCTGCATGTGTTAGCTGGGGGCATGTCTGTCCTCCTGTTGCACTTCATCGAAACCTGAATAGCTGCATAGGCACAGCAAGGTTTGCGTTCGTGTTTTTGTTTCATGAAACACGCCTGCTGCGGTACGCCGTGGCAGAGTTGACTTACGAGTCCAAGGCAACAGCGCTGCTACTGCACTGCGGGCCAATCTCCTCAAGGGCTACCGAATGACTCCGGCAGCATTGCAATCCAGCATCTGCAACGACAATCACAGAGCCTGAACGCGATTTTCCCTGCTGCAGCGGCAAAACGCTGCACTCTTTGTCTCGCTTGGACTTGTGCGAATCGAAGTACTCGAGCCGAAGCAGCCATCTCAGCCGTCCCATATCGAGTCCTCTCTTGGAGAATCTGCTCGCCCAGCTTCCTACCACTTCCCGCTGCCACCAGAAACTCGACGAACTTAGTCATGGATCTTCCTGATCATGTCTCCCCGTCTCAGCCAGGCTTCCCGACTCGACTCAATCGGGGTCCTCTCCATGTTGTGTTGCTACCATGACAGTGGTGCGTGCAACGCACGATGTCCATGTGCCGCTTTGTCGTCAGCGAAGATCGGGAACGCTGGCTGGCTCCACATGTGTCTGGAAGACCGTAAGAACAGCGACACTTCATTTCCGATTTCCGCTGTCCAAGGGGCAAGTCAGTCTCTGGCAGGGAGTCGCTATCGCGATTGTGGCCATCCTGGCTCCAGCACGGAGGGACGGTTGAGGGTGGAAAACATTCAAAAAAAAACACACAGAAGCATGAAATGGCCGAGCGTCTGCACACGCTGGCGTAGGTCGCAGTTTTTGGCGCGGGCTCACAGCGGGCCTGCAGACGTGCCTCTAGGGCCGTCATTTCGGAGAGGTTCCACTCGACCCCTGGGGCCCAACCAGGCCAGCGCTGCGCAAGGATGCCACGATACCGCTGAAGGAAGTCCTTGACAAGTTCGGAGGGCTCTGCGGTGTCTGCAACATTGGGCAGACTCGCCATCCACCTTCTCCACTCCTGGGCGGCTTCGTGAAGCGTCCGATTTGCTCGCGCCCATGCTTTCTTGTGAGTTCCACTTCCTGAAGCCATCGCTGATAACACCACGCCCGCCTGCAGGCTCATGAACTTTACCAGGTTTTGACCATGCTCTCTGCCCTCTCCGCCAACACTCTCATCTACATCGAAAGGAATCTACGTCTCTGTTGCTGTGGGGTCACAACGGCCGGCACCTTGCTCTTGAAGGCCTTCACCATTTCTCTCTCCATGTGGTCGTGCAGCGCACTGCCGCGAATCCGTTCATCGCGCATGCTGGCCGGCGGCGCATCGCTGAGCTCGTAGGACCAAAGATTTACGGAGGCGGTGTCCTGCATAGACCGCTTATGTCATCTTACAGAAGTTACTTGCACTGTCGGATGTCCTCAAAAGGCTGTTCAAACTGATGCCACCAGTATCCGGGCAAGTACAAGACGTCGCCAGGCCCCACCACTGTCTCTGACAGAAGGACATCAACGAATCCAGGGTGCCGAGCGAGATCTGGGTTGCTCAGGTTGACTTGCGAGCTGCCGGCGAGGGGATGTGCATTGGGATAAGGGTACAAGGCATCGTATTGTCCAGGGTCTGCGAGAATCGCTCTCTTTCTGCCCCAAGCCATGACGTACAGGTTGTCCGAGGAGTCATAGTGCAAAGGCATGGTCACGCCCTTTTGGCCAATCCACAACTTGGCATTGGCAACCCCTCCGAAAAAAGGCTGCATTTTTGCCAGCGGCTTCAAGGCTGTGACCATTTCTTCCAGATCTGCGGCGATCTGTGGTGTCGCCGCTTCGCCGGCGACTACGGGAGCAGCGTCTCGCTCCATCAGGATATCGTGCAGGTAGTGCAATCGCGGCTCTGTCTCTGAAGGAGACTCTCGCAGAGTTCCCACGAAGCCCTCGAAATGATCTCGATAGAGGTGCGTCCTGGGCCGGAATGGGTATGGATATCCTGCCTCGGCTGCAATGCGGCGTGGCTCATAGTATTGACAACAAGCCCTCGCTGCATCTGCAGCTACATTGTAAAAACCTCCATGCATGAACCGGCGGAGGTATTCCAGCGTCCATTTCTGCACTATAGGGTGGCTCAAGTTTCCGTCGAAGAAATCCGTGATGACCACCGGCTCTGCACGAGAAATGAAGTCCATGGCATCGGCCAACTTCCGCCGTGCGACCATGCGAGGCTTCAGGGACGCGAGGGATGCATGCCGAGAGGTGGCAATCAGTCTTTCGGCATCCAGATCGTCCAGAACAGCTTCTAGCTTGGGCCTCACTTCTGCTTGCCAGCGCAAGATCGACTTCAAGGTGCCATTGCTTCTTCTGCCGCTTTCGGCGCTTTCTGCCACCCGCCTCCCGTTCTCGAGAGCTTCGAAAGCGGCTCTTAGGGATGCCAGGCCTGCAAACTCCGAGGCCTCGGGATCCATCAAAGTCTCTGCCAACTGCAGCCATTGCTCCGCAGACCTTTCCTCTTCCGCTCTCTCCAAACACGTCCTGTTCGTTGCTACGGCGTGAGCTGCAACACACCTGAGCTCCAGAGCTTCTGCACTCACCTAGACCAAAAAAAAAACTGCGGAGTCCACTGCTGAGTTTTGAGGCAGGCACCCGTGACGCACCGTGCTCCAGCCGCAGCCCGGTAATTGCACGCACTCGTCGCAGGCTTCGGCAGCTGAGCAGCCCAGCGAGCCGGGAGTGGCATCAGCAGTGGAAGCGGCGCAAGCTGCCGATGAAGAAGCCGCATTATCTTCGTTGATGACATAGCTCCGGGATTCCGGGTCAATCGTAATCCGAAGCAAAGGAAACAGCGTGCCGGCACGGGCCTCAGCTTCAAGTTCCCGACAGGCACACAGTGGAATGCCTTTTACGGCCGAGAGCACGCGTCTCAGGCAAGGGCGAACGTGAAGAGGTGACCTTCTGCAACCTCCAAGAGCTTACGGCCGCCCCCGCGAGGAACCGGTCCGAAGTCCTTGCGTGGGCCCGCATTAGTGCCGTGCCAAAACAAGCTGCAGTCCACATCGAGATCGTTGATGAAAGTGATGTTGAGTAGTCCGCTGGTACACCTCAAGAGTGCAATCGAAATCCATGCTGTCAGCCTCCTTGAGGTCATGGCGCTACTTGGGACTGCTGACTTCATGGCTGAGCAAAAAAGCTTCTTTCGGCATCCAGCTCAGATCCAAATTCATCTCGCAAGCGCATGCTTCACTCGTCTTTTGTGCTTCTCGCATGCATGCAATTTCGGGCTCAGGGCCCGCTACTCGCTGTCAGGCCCGAGGATGACTAGCCTGAGGACCACTCCAGCATTTCTGAATGCGCGCCTACTGGGCCGATGCACAACTTCAAAGCCCAAGGCTTGGGAAAGTATAGACACTCGTGGACTGGCCGAAGGCAGAGATGGTGTGAATGTCCTGGCATGGGGAAGAAGACCGCTTCTGAACTTCGCAGCACGGTTTCGAGATTGCACTGCAAGTGGAACTCATGGCGTGTCCACCCTGAACGTCGGTTGAGCAGAATGGATGACAGGAAGGCACACATGATGACAATGGCATCCACACCTGTATCAGCTGCCAACGTCCGATTGATCACAGCCAATGCGTGCGAGGTTGCTGCAACTGCTCAGGCAATGCATGGACCACCTGGCTTCACCTGCAGCTTCCAACCCTCGCGCACATCGTCAACACGCCTCAGAGCTTGCTGCAAAAAACTGCAAGACTGTGAGAATTCAAACATCGTTGCGATACAGCCCCACTAGGCCCCACGCAAATTTTCTGAAACAACGCTTGCAGACGCCAACATGCTGCCATTTACTCGGCAAGCAGTGTAGGTGAGCCTGAGCATCGCCCAGTAACTGTCAGCTGGAACGGCGTGGCTGCTTGGGGAGTGCACGCATCAGCGTTCCCATCCACGGCCATGACTGGAAAGCCGTTGCACATCCTTGGGGCTGACATTGCGCAGCAAATTGGAGATTGAATTGAGTTGGATGTGATCTTGCCTGTTTAGATGGACAGCACAGGCAGGAACCTTTATGTTGTCCAATTAAGATTGAGATTGGGGGTGCCTAGGTGGTGCCAACTTCAAAAAGGATGGTTCAAACCGATTCAACCGAGCATGCTGCAGCATCATCCGGCCGCCGGCGTTCTCCAGAAACCCGTACAACCTCAGACAAAACGAAATTCGAACTGGAGGGCCTACAGCACATAGGCTCCGAGCTGGTTGTCGCGATTGTAGATCTCCAGGCCAGACTGCATGGAAGACCTGTGATGTTCTTCAGCGTAGGCTACAGCGACTGGGCGGGCGATGCGTGGCGGGACTGCAAAGAAACACCGAACAAGCAAGGGGTTCTGCTGCGGCCTCCTTTGAAGAACAACTGCCGCCGGAGAGTCAAGGTTGACTGGCCAGATCCAAAGCTGCACTCCCTCAGGTCCGCGGTCCTCTGCATACCACGGATTCTAAAACAACAGGACGAAGGTGCAAGCAGTCTGCCTGCAAGTCGGCCTGGAGAAGCTGCTTGCCTGCGACGACAACAGAAAAAGGCTGTCTCCGGTCTAGCTCAGCTTCTGCCGCCTGAGCCGCCCCAGATGGGAAAGGGCCCAAAGCCAGGATTTTTCAATCCTCAGCTGAAATCAAATTATGTCAGATATCCGCGTGAAAATGGAAACCCGAACCATGCACAAGCAGACACTCTTTTTGCATGGTGGATGGGTGTGGCTGCCGTTGGCTGCCGACTCCCAGAGCCGAAGCCCTTCGGTCGAAGGTTCGGTCCAAAACTGCACTGTCATGACATGCAGATTGCACCTTCCCATGTCAAGCGAGACTACAACATGTGGGCTGATGAGCTGACCCATCCTACTTTTACTGCTTTCATCTCCGATCTTCGACTCCCTGTTGAGCCAATCTTGTTACATTTCACTCTGGTGAAATCGATTCTCGATGAGCGCTTGTTAGACCATGCAGTTTCCTGCCCTCACCCATGGGCCCGCGCAGGGCGCCCGGTGAGGTTGTGGCTGCTTCCTGACCTGGCTTTCGGTTGGACGGCACAGATGTTCCTTCTAAGGTCTTGCTTTTGGGGGGGTCCGGGACTGCAGGTGCACAAGGCCCTGATGGCCCGGACCCCAAAGCCTGGGAACCGGTGGCCGGTGCTGCGGGCGCAGCGACAGGCGGGCTGGTGGCTGCGGGGGCGGCAGCGGCCGTCGTCGGCACTGCTTGGGCCATCCAGGGAGGGATGACCGCGGCCTCGCACATGCTGGGCTGGGGCGCGGAGAACGGAGGGGGGACGGACAGCGACGCCTCGCGGCCCTCTCGGGCCACCGACGTCCAGACCCTCATCGGCATTCAGGACTCAGGGGCCATCGACAGAGGGATCTCCATCAAGATCAACGTGGTGGGCATTTTCTTGGACTTGTCATGTCGTTGAGGAGTGAGTAGATGTTCGCCTGGTTGTCGCTCACCAGGCGGATGCGAAGGTTCGGGATATACGCCGGGGCCTTTTCCATGAGGAAGTGGCAGAGGATCAGGGTGCCGAACATTTCGAAGGCATCAATACGCTTCTTGCAGCAAGCCTGGTCAAACACCCAAAAGTGTCTAGCTGGAGTGATCTGGTAATACAACCAGAAGACGTCGCTCTTCACTGCGGTTTCCAAGTTGGAGAGCCAACCACCAACGAAGGCCGAGGCATCATCCGAGGCAGTTGCACATCACTAGCCCCGGTCCAAATGGCTATGCGTGCATAAGGTGAGGCTTGCCGAAACTTCTGCTGGAAATGAGAAAGCAAAGGGGAGACGATCCCTATGGGCATGGAGATCAAGGCAGTGGATGCACCCTCTGCAGGTGACTTTGTCCATGAGGGGAGTGTAAACCAGGCGCCAGTGAAGCCTTCGGACATCGGGACCACACCACCGATGATCTCGTCGTCATGAGGGTTGGCCCCGGGGGTTATTGGAAGAGAAACTGTACTTCCTGGAGCCAGACCTACAAGAAGCATTGGCACAGGACCGCTGTGAAAGCAGAGGCTTTTGAGCAGTAGGCATTCTAAGCTTGGTCCGGGGCGAACCCATGATAGAACTGATCGACCTTGATGGTTCAAGCAATGCGAGCGCAAAGCAGCAAGGGTTGCGCGACACGACTTTGCGGTCAGTTTTCAGACTCGCGGCGGAGCCACCGAGCTCGCAGGGCAGATCCTTTGGGTGAGCCCGCTATTTTTCCAGGGCCCTGCTTGTGCCGCGAGACAGAATGAAGACAAAGCTCAAGCTTGT